AGTGATAAAACATGGGCAGCAGCTGAATATGAAATAGGATGCTTCACGTGTGTGTGCAGAAAGTCAGGTAAATAAGGGACAACTGCTATGTGGGACATACACTCAGTTTGAATAACAGAGGTAAAGCAGGGGCAAATATGTAATGCTGACTTGTGACCATTACCTAGTACGGGGGTTTTTGACAAATCCAGTATTCATAAAAACTGGACAGAGACACGTTGTTTTTATTCCATCCTTTCCTAGTGAAGACAGCTCCTCCGTCAGGGCTTTATGAAATCCAACTGCAGCAAACTTGCTTGAACTGGTGGAGGAAAAAAGCACAAATCAGAAGGCATGAATGTTATTTCTGGCCTGACAGAAATGGAAAGGGGCTGTAAGAACATGCAGTACTGAGTAGTGAGGGAAACAGTGAGAAGGCAGGGACTAATTCTAAGTTTTGTTGTGCCACATTGTAGTGCTGAAATACACATTGCAGCTTGGGGAAGACGCTATGGGATGCAAAGTGGGTGTCTTTCAGAAAGTTACCTTTATAATGAAGAGTCTGACAATGTTAGTGCATAAATCCAAAGTGTTTACTTGTTAAGAGTGGTGTTAGAAAATTCTTGGCTAGCAGAAACAAATGAACATATTTGATGCTAAGGATCTGAACAATGTAATCTGATTAAAACTCCTGGCTCAGGAGTTCTGCTAAGAACAGTGACTCCCTGTGCAGGAACATACTGAGGGAAAATGGTTCTGTTTGGAACCACCATAGTAGAAGGCTAACAACATGCAGTCTGATAATATGCCATGTTACAGTTTTTCTGTAACTTTGCGCATGAGTTATAAATGCTTCTATTTTAAGTGGGCAGTGCGTAGACCTCTCAGTAGTGACCTGGTACTTGCAACACTAAGTATTAACATGTTTCTTCTATCATGTGAAAGGTTTGCTGTCAAAGCCTGCATTTTACCACATGGGGGCAGAAGTATTTCTATGCACTGCAATCGTTGCTACGAATGCTAGAAATAGGAAAAGCTACTCATTATATGTTCACTTGATAACACTACAGTGACTCACAAGAGCACCACAGTCTAAGAAGAAGGGAATAAAATACCTTTCTTAGTAAGCAAAAGTCCAGATCACTTATGGAGAGAAGAAAGATTGAAGATTGCGTTAGTTGATTTGTAACATGTCAGTCCTTCATTGGATCACCTGAATCAGTCAGAGCTAATAAGCAAATCAGAGGGTACCTCAATTGCTCCTTATGTGGTGCATGTTGTGGGCTTTTTCTCCTTAGCACTGTCCTTTGGAAGTAGCTTATTCAGTGGGAAGTTTATTTCTTTTACTCCGTGTTTGCTGGTGGAGAAGACAAAATTAAATGAAGAGAGCTGATTTTGAAGTCACTTACCAGTAAGCCACCATGAAAGAAGTTACAAATTGACCTGCTGCAGAAGCCACTGTGACAATGTGACCATGGTTGTTCTTCATCATTGCTGGCAGAAAAGCTCTTGTTGTCTTGAAAAGGTGTTTTAAAAAGGGGCAGAAATAGGGTGGGGAGGAAGGAGGAAAAGAGCAATGCCTTCTTAGATGTCTTCAACACTGATCCCAATTACTTGCAATTAAGTGAAGCTATCCCTAATGCAAGGTGCTACATAGCACCCAAGGCCCTGAGAAGCAGATGCCCATTCTCTGTTCAGATGGTGCAATCTGATTTCCAAAGGGAACCTTTCAGCAAAGTCAAGTATCAACAGAGGCTGATGCTCATGTTGCTCCTAGCCTACCTTCTAGATTTTCCTCGTCAGCAGCAATACTGCCAGTGTCTCTTCCCTAGCAAGTACAATCTGTAAGCGCTCCTTTTTTCACCTGCAAGCAGAATTTCTTTAACACCTGTGACCGCCACCCTGTAAGCCCCACTGACAGCTGAGTCCCCAGGGTAAGCTACCAGAGTGCCAAAGAACCAAGAGCCCAGCTCTGAGATGTCCCAGCTGCATCACCTCCAAGCAGGCTGCTGGCATAGAGCTGAGTGAAGCTCTGCAGAGGATAAAGCAGGTGCTATTTTCATCCTTAACAACACTCACAATAACACTAAGGCATAAAAACAGTAGCAGCCCTTACCCAAATGTGAGCAAGAATGTTGATTTCAAACATTTTCTCAATTTGGTGGTCCTGGGTGGAGAGCAGGTCAGCAGCTGTAATCACACCAGCATTATTCACCAGGATGGAGACATCACCAATATCCTTTTTCACCTTTTAGACAAAAGGAACATGCAGCCCCATCACATTCATTATCACAGAAGTGCAAGGTTGTGAGCAACAATTAATTTAACTCCTACAATTCTGTGTTTTTTTGTTTTTGTTTTGTTTTTTTTTTTCAGAGAGGAGAAAATCATGTTCTTTCCCAATCTGGTAGGAACCGTGCAGTATCCAGAAAGCTGATTTAGATCTGGTGTTTTTTCCCTTATTTACTGCCAGTATTTATAGTCTCCTACACATCACCCACAGAAAATATGCTCTACACAGTCACAGCTGGCACAATGTGCGTGAAGAACCTCAGGTGCTGTTTTCCAGCCTTTCTCAAAACCCGAGCATGTTTGGGTAAGCCCTGGCACATGTGCCTGCTTTCCCTACCTTCTCGGCAGCGCTGTAGATCTCCTCTCTTTTGCTGCAGTCCACCACAAAAGTGTGAACGGTGGCTCCCAGCCCCTCACACTCTGTTGCTGTCTCCTTGAGGCCATGCTGTGGGAGGAAGGAAAGAAGGATACATGTATAACGTGAGTGCAGTGGCATCAGTACAGCCTGCTTGGTTGCATGTGCAACCGTACATTGCCTGAGCTTTGCTGTTTGGGCACCATGGAACCTTAGGGGAGGACTTTAAATTTAGGACCTGCACAGGACTGCTGCTAGAAATGGAACATAGAGACAATAATGCCCTTGCCTCAGTAAAGCTCATTTAGCTGGACAGTGGGAAGTGGGCACCAGGTGACAGCTGGCAGCCTCCTGATTGCATGCAGAGGACTAAAGGGTGGCTGCAGGTGACAGCCTGGAGATACCACAAGTATACCCAGAATATGGCAGGAGTAACAGTTTGGCTGTGTGAGAAAGGAGGTATGGCACTCCATGTACAACCTGGAAAGCCTGTTGACCAAGGTGTCCATGTTTTGCGTTAGACTGAAATAACAAGGCCATCTTTTACCATCAAAACAGATTAACGGTGCCATGTTCCTTCTGACATTCCATCATCTCTTAGCTTGTCCAAAGCTGTGGGTTCCACTGCCTCCTTTAGCTACCTAATTCATTGCTTGCTAACATGTATTCAGGCATTCCTCCCAGAATTACGGGTGAGTGTTGCAGCTACAAAGCTAAGGTCAGTACCTCTTCCCTTCCCACAGAAGGTAGAAAACAAAAGCACAGATCATAGGGGTTGGAGGGGACTTCTGGAGTCCAAACTTGTGATAAAGCAGGTTCCCTACAGCAGGTCACACAGGTTAAGTGTCCAGGTGAGTCCTGAATATCTCCAGAAAAAGAGACCACAACCCCTCTGGGCAGTTGTTCCAGTTCTCTGTCACCCTCACAGTAAAGAAGTTCTTCATTGTGTTAGTATGGAACTTTTGTGTTCCAGTTTCTGACCACTGCCCTTTGTTCTACTGTTGCATGCCACTGAAAAAGAATCCACCCCCTCCAACTTGACTCCCACACTTTAGGTATTTATAAACAATTGTCAGATCCCCTCTCAGCCTTCTCCAGAATGAACAGCCTCAGCACTCTGAGCCTTTCCTCATAAAGGAAAATGCTTCAGGCTCTTAATCATCTTTGTGGCCCTCTGCTGGACCCTCTAGGAGATCCCTTTCTTTCTTGGACTGGAGAGCTCAAAACTGGATACAGCGTTCTAGATGTCTTTAAAGTAAAAAAAGGGAAGATTTAGGTTAGATGTTAGATAGAAATTTTTTACTCAGAAGGTGGTGATTGCCCAGAGAGGTTGTGAATGCCCCGTCTTTGGAGACATTTAAAGCCAGGTTGGATTGGATACCGCACAGCCTGGTCTGGTGGTTGGCAACCCTGCCCATGGCAGGGGGTTGGAACTAGATGATCTTTAAGGTCCCGTCCAACTTAAGCCATTCTGTGATTTCATGTGGCCACACCAGGGAAGAATAAAGGGGGAAGAGAACCTCCCTCTACATGCTGGCCAGGCTCTTTGCAATGCACTTCTTGGGCATGAAGGCACATTCCCGGCTAATGTCCAACCACCGGTCAACAGTTGGTCAGCTGTTGGTCAACCAGTACGCCGCTGGTGTTCTTGGCCACCAACCTCTGTAGAGCTCCTTTGCAGGAGGTCAGCCCCTAACCCGTAGTGATGCATTTGATGGATGACACAGGACGGATGACTTGCTGCTTGGCTTCAGCCCATCTTGCATCCCAAGAGCAGTGCCATGCATGCCCGAGTCTGTGCTGGAGGTGAGCACACAAATACACTACTAAACATCCCCACCGCGGGGCAGCTGTACTCTGTATACATGATACTCCCCTCACCGCACACAGAGACGGCACCCAGCTCCCCGCAGCCACCTGCGGCCACGAGCCCCGCTCCCCCCGCCCCGGCAGGACCTCCCCGTCGACCCCATCCCGTTGTTACCGCCTCGACGTCCCACAGCACCAGGCGGCTCTGGCGCCGGGCGAACTCGCGGGCCGTGGCCCTGCCCAGCCCACGGGCAGCGCCCGTCACCAGCACCAGCTCCCCGCGGACGGTCTTCCTCTTGGCGGGCACCAGCAGCTTCACCAGCGCCTCCGCGTAGGAGTACAGCAGCGTGCCCAGGAACACCAGCAGCCCCAGCGCGGGGTTCATCCTGGCGCCACCCGGCAGCCCGGAGCGCTCCTTCGGCAACTCGCAGTGCCGCCGCAAGGTGGCGCACACACCGCCCGTCGTGACCAATCGGAGAGTGTTGTGGGGAGGGAGGAGGCGTGCCCGGCGGAGAGGAGCACACCAATGGACGGAAGGCGGCGCTGATTGGCCACGCACCGCCCAATGAGAGGGCAGCTTGTAAGGGGGTGCTGGCGGCGGCGAGTGGTGGTGGTTGGGGTTGCGGGAGGGCGGTTCCGGCCTGGCGTCACTCCGGCGGCCCGGGCCGAGCGTCTCACCGCCGGTTGTGGCGGGAGGGGATGTTGCCTTTCGCCACTGTGCTGCGTGCAGTGTCGTTCCCCGGCCTCGCTCGGGCTGTCGCCGTGTTGTCCGTCGCGGTTGTGCTGTCCCCGCCCACCCGGTGCGCGCTGCGCCGCCGCCCGCCCCTCAGGTACGGCGGCACAGGGGGTGTGTTGGGGACAGTGGGCCGCTGCCGGCATCGCCGCTGGGTATGGGCTTGTCTGGGACCGGGCGGTTCCTCATCTCAAAAATCCCCAAAGCTTTTCACCAAGAGCTCTTAAAAATCCGTGCTTCTGTAGGTTATGGCCTCTTGCTATGCTTACAGCCTCTTATTTGGGGCAGTCTCTTTTTTTGGAGCGGTTAAAAAAAAACAACCAAAACAACAGTTTGTGTATTGAGATAAATCCGTGTGGGGTTTCAAAGAGCTGCACATCAAGCCCGTAATCTAAACTGCTCCTGTCACTGGTATAATGCCTGCAATTTTGGCTCCAGAAAACCCATGTCAGAATAAGATTGCTCATGGTCTTGAGGTTTTCTCTTGTGAGTGAGTTATTTGGATGTTCATTGCCTTCCTGGCAGTAGAAGAGAGAGGTGTGTGTTACTCTGCACTGCATCACATTGAGTGTTGTATCACTGCTCAGAGCAACATGTGGAGTTACATGGAGCTGGAGGAGGCTTTTGAGGATCCTCCTGTCCAAGCCTGCTGGTGTTTTGGACATTTTGTATTTACTTTCACTTTTTCTGTCAATGAATGTGAGAGCAGGCCTCTTGTAAAGCTGAGCTGTTTGTTGGTGCGTTTCCCATGTGGAGAGTGAGTGCTTGGGCAGGCCTTCAAACTGCACTCCCTGGTAAACACCTCCCAGCGAATCCTTTCAAGTGATCAGTAACTGCTCAGAGTGCTGCATAGCCCAGAAGGGCCCTTGCAGTTCTCAGCTTCCTACTTGTATATGTTTGCATGATTCCTGAAAGAAACGATAACATATTGCTGTTCTCTAGAAAGCTTCAGTCTGTTCTGCGTGGTGCAGACTAATATGCAGATGAGACCTTTAGTAGCATGGTTAATACTTAATGAATAAGTATTCTGTGATTCTTGGAATAAGATGATACTTTCTTTTTTTTTCTTTCAGTAACTTTTCTGCAGCTCACTGGTCCCACCTCCATCCCATTAACATGTGTGACAGTTACAGCATTAAGAATTTCTACCACAACAAAGCTCTCACCTCCCCGTATCCCAGATCGCATGTTGAGCGTACCCATGTTCCTGCAGATAAAGTGGATTGGTTGACTGAGTGGAAAGACTACCAACCCGTGGAGTACACTGCAGTGTCTATTTTGTCTGGACCTCAGTGGGCAGATCCTCAGGTCAGGTAAGTGGAAGGGAGACAGGTAGAAATTCTAGTGTCCTTGCTGATTTGTCTTTTCCAATCATTTTTGACATGAGAGAATAGCATTGTGGCCTTAAGAACTTGGGAGAAAATTGCCATCGTGTATTTGCTTGTTTGTTCTTGAATCGTGTGCAAGATGAGAAGAACTCGAGCGGAATTGGAGGCCTGAAGCAGTACGCTCTGACTCAGAAAGTGAGGCAGGCTGAATGCCTGATGGTAGCATTGTGACTGTGTTGCTTTGTACTGGTTCTGTGAATACATTCTACTCCCAAGGAACACATTGTCCTGCTTAGCTAGGTTAGATGCATGTCTTAATCTATTGTCAGATAGTATTTTAGTAGGTGTTGATAGCACTTGAAAATGCAGACTCAGTTTTTAATGTAGATTCCTGAATTGTTTGTGTGGAAAAATCTAGTCAGTCAATTGATTCTTGTGACAGTTTGAGAGGAATTGTTTTGGAGAGCAGTAAATATGCTTCTGTAGAGAGCTGCCCCCCTACCAGCATGCTGTTTCACTTCCAGAGATGCACGAAGAGTGTAGGCATTAAATGCTTCTTGAAAGTCAGTGATCGCACGTAGCAACTGTGATAAAGCATACCTAATAAAATATCTGCACACTGCACTTAAATTAGGAAAGCATTTGTTGGCTTCATCGCTGGGTAACATCTTATGTTCCCTAATATGAACAAAAACAGCTTTGCAATGCTGCCTAAATGAAAAAGAGGAAATGTTGAGTGCTTTAGAGCATCGTGCTTATCTGCAGATTTAAACAGACATCATCAGCAATTGCTCAAATCTTATACCCCCCTACGGGGAAGGGAGGGCCTGCATTTTAAGTTTTAGTAAAAACTAGTTGTTAGCCAACTGGGTGTTAATTACAGATTGCATGGCTGGCTTTCAACCAGAGGGATGTTTTGGGCTTTATAACTTCTAATTGCTCTTTCCCACAGTGATAAAAGTTTCTCTCCCAAATTTAATGAGAGAGATGGTCAAGTGGAGAGGACAAGTTGGAATGGCTTGTATGTGGTTGAGAACGGGAGGCCCCGGTGAGTGATTTTTCTTTGTCTGTGTGTTTCAGTGATTTAGTTGTAGAGCTCTTAAGCATCTGTATTGGTTCTAATAGATGGTACCTGCTAGAACAAACTGAGGGTAGTCTTCCCTAGAGACAGAAAAGAATGATACCTTAGTGTGAGGGTACTGTTCCTGGAAGAAAGTTGTGCAGAGAGGCATGAAAAGGTTGGTCTGGAGTTGCCCCTGCAGTGGGTTGTGGGGACCTTAGGGAGGCAGAAGATCAGGGTAATGACAAAGTCATTTTGTTCTCCTTTACTTATGCTGTTGGTTACAAGAAGATGATCATAGAATCATAGAATCATAGAATGGCCTGAGTTGAAAAGGACCACAGTGATCATCTAGTTTCAACCCCCCTGCCACAGGCAGGGTCACCAATCACTAGACCAGGCTGCCCAGAGCCACATCCAGCCTGGCTTTCAATGAATCCAATGATGACAGAGAAAACTGTGTTCTCTTTTATTCTTTAAAGCTAATGCTAACATTGGGTGTACGCTGCTTTCCTTTCCTTTCTGTTATTCAAGCTTCATTAAAGCTACTTCCTTAGAGTACTTGGAACTCTGTGCGGGCAAATAGTGCTGTTAAATGCCCTGTGCCACTTATTTCAGAAACCCAGCAGGAAGGACAGGTCTCACAGGGAGAGGGTTGCTGGGGCGCTGGGGACCAAACCATGCTGCTGATCCTGTTGTGACCAGGTAAGGGATGGGTGACTGAAAGGTGATGTACAGTACAGAAAAATAGTGAGTGACTCAGTTGCAAAATCAGTGGTGTGCCTGTTTTTTTGCACTGTAGGAAATACTGGGTTGGTCTAATGTGTAAAAGGAGGACATAAGGTTTGGATGATCTGTTGTTGGTTTGTTTGTCTGTTTGTGTTCTGTCAATGCCTGCTCTGCTTTGGTGTTTCTGCCTCCAGAGTCTGTGTAACTACATGTGGAGGGACACACAAAGGTTTTGGGAGAGATGGTGTAGATAACAAAGCTGCAAGCTAGGAAATGCAATGCTTTTAAGGTACAGCTATAATGAAAGACACGCTACTGCATTTTAGTTCTTGCCATTATCAGAACTCTACTGAAGCTGCTCATTTATTTCTGTGAAAATACTGCAAATCTTGGTTCTATTTTGCCCCTTCAATTAGATTTTTGCTTTAGTGGCTACAGTTCTTCTAATTCCTTTACTAGACACAGTACAGTGGATGCTTGTGGCCTTCTGTTGGTGCTAAGTAGATGATTTGGAAGTACTGCAGCCAAAATTTACTCTTCTAGCAGAAGTCATTATTATCCTCATCTCATGAGTAGGCAAAAATAAAGTTAGAGGTGAAAGCTTTATAATGAGAGTTTCAGTAGATACAGATGTTCTGGACCTAGCAGTAAAACTGCATGGATGAGATCTTCCCAGGCAGCTGTTGTCTGTTTTTGCTCTGAGTACAATCTCAGGTAGAGATTGTACTCTACCTGATAGACTAATGTGTGAAGGTCCCACTGTTATGTTTTCCTCCTACAAAAAAGCAGAAAATAATCTTCTTCTTTGTCATTTTCTGCAGGTGGAAGAGGGATAGAAGTGGCAGTAAAATTGCTCACCCAGTTACTGGCAAAAACATCTTGCAGTTTGTAGCTATCAAGAGGAGAGACTGTGGGGAATGGGCCATCCCTGGGGTAAGAGCAGAGCTCTGAAGTGGAAGATTTCTTTTGGCGAAGTCAAGAGCTGATAACTGACGTGTATGTGATAAAACTGCTTTGTAAGAGTGACATCATTTTGTAGAGGTGTATGGGAACTGCTGAGTCACAGCCTGAACCTCTGATTGATCAGCTGAGGTGAGCCATGAGTCAGCCACAGGAGCACAGGTGAAGGCAATTCACCTGTGCTGCTGGAAGGGGTGGAGCCTGGCTGCACCTCTCCTAGACCTATTTAAGAGCTGGCTGGCAGTGGAACGATCTCTTCTGGAGATTCATTCTGCTGGAGTTTTGTAAGTGAGCCCAGGGTATGGGTAAGCTTTCTGTCTATTCTCTTTTGTTATTGTAATCTGCTTTGCTAAACTCTCTTGTTTATTTTATAATTATAACATCTTAATATTCATTGATTATACAAGAGGGATGGAGAAAGGTATTACAAATGTTTTTTTTTCTCAGGCCTCTCTTGGTAGGCTTCTTGCCTTTTCCACAATATAAGGCAATATATGTACTTAATTCTGATACTGTCTTTTGCTTAATGTAGATATAATTTAATCTGCTCCAGATTTTGGAGGATGGATATGCTTGCTCTTTATCCACAAATACAGACTTCCTCTCAGATCCAGAGCGTGATGCAGGTGGCTGTAATACACACCATTCAAAGAGTGCTATGCCAAGTGAGCTATGAGGGTACTCATATTTCTTTGCCTGTCAGGGGATGGTGGATCCAGGAGAGAAGATCAGCGCTACTCTGAAGCGGGAATTTGGGGAAGAGGCCTTGAACTCCTTACAGAAATCACCTGAGGAAAAAGCAGAATTGGAAAAGCAACTCCAGAGACTGTTCAGCCAGGAGCACTTTGTGGTAAGCTGTGTGTCTTTGTGGTAACCTCTGAGCTCTGTAGGTAAACTGTAGCTATTGAGGAACTGAGGAAGTGCAGCTGTTACTAAAATAGGCTGTGATACTCAATTTCTTGTCATGTAAGATTCTAAGGGTGAATCTGAGGAAAACACTTTGTAATGATTCCACCTCATTTTTATGCTGTTACATTTCTTTTGATTGTTTGCTGCATTAGGTGTACAGAGGATATGTGGATGATCCTCGTAACACTGATAATGCTTGGATGGAGACAGAGGCTGTGAATTACCACGATGAAACTGGTAGGTATCTCTGCTTGTGTTCTTAGCTGGTTTTTACTGCAGGTACTCTTCTGAAATAGTGGTGTCTCTGAGGCTGAGGTGTGCAATGGAAATGTATGAGCATGAAAGTGGTGTGTGAGTTCTTGGACTGAAACTAGTACGTGTGAGAATCTTGTCTTTTGTGATGTTTACCCACAGCAAGTAATAGCTGTTCCCCTTTGTTTTCTCTCTATCCTGAACTAAGAAAATTAAGTCATATTCAGGCAAATTCTGTGTTTTTGTGTTAGTTCCAAGCCACAAAATGTGCCTTGGTGTGGAGACTGCATGCTAGCCCTGGTTTCTTTTTGGTCACTTGAGTCAGTTTAATTTCCAGTTTCAATGGTGAAGGACCTTCAGCTCTTTTTTATTCTCCTTCAGCAGCTGTGTGCTTCAGGAGCATTGCCTCTGGCAGATTTTCACTGCATTTATTGCTTGGAGATCCTGATTACTCTCGACACCTTTTATCTTGGGTACTCTGCCAGAGTAATTTTTGTGCTTTATTTTCCTTTTGTAAACCAAATAGAAGGGGCACATATATATTTTTTTTTTTTTGTTCTTTGATCTGTAATCCTGAGTTCTCATGTCTTCCCTCTTGAGATGAATTGGCTTGGTTTACTATCATTTTTGCTGCTTTGGGTAGTTAAAAGGTAAGTGTTGAAGCTTAGCATGCTGTTGGTTCTTGATTTATCAACTCCCAGAAGTAATGAAGGTTGTTCCTTTGATATTTGTTTCTCATAATTTTTTTTAATAATCATTTATTGTCTTGTTTATGCAGTACTGGGACTTGACTCAGAAACCAGTTAGAAACTATAGAGAGTAATTCAGAAGCTCTTTTCTGCATCTCCACTGAATGGTTTTTTAAATACTTTTGAGGCTTTAATAAAGTATTAATTATTCTCATTTTGTATAGGTATGCATCACTTTCAGAATTTGGTTCCTAAAGTAGTAGAAATAGAATATTGGAAGGGAGGAACTGATAAGGTGGGAGAAGAGAAGGTGGGAGAGAAGATGCAAGAATGTGTCTAACTCTTGTTTTGTGGACAGGTGAGACCATGGATAACTTACCTCTGGAAGCAGGTGATGATGCTGGGATGGTGAAATGGGTTGACATCAGTGAGAAGCTCAAGCTGTATGCAAATCACAGCTACTTCATTAAGCTTGTGACGGAGAAATGGGGAGCCCACTGGAGTGAGGAACCTGGTAGATGCTCTGAGTGATATAAAGGAGGAACGGACCCATGTGTGAAGGCTGGTGTTCAGCAGCCTTGGAGTTGAGATGATGCTGAACTTCTCAGTGCTCAAATACAGCATATACCACGTGTAAGAGACTTTGTTGCTGCAAGTAACGTGTAATAATGACTGTCACCTGTGTACAGCCATCCAACTGTGGGATTAGCTCTGTGTACACAGGTCAGGCAGAGCTAGCTATGATGGAACATGTTTTTAGAAGGCTTGAAATGGCTTCTTTGAATTTCTCAACGAGTGAAAAATGAGATGAACGTGGAGCTGTTAACTTCATGTCTTAATTATTTGCAGCCAAATCTTTATATCAGCAGAACTGCAAGAGATCACTGGGATTCTTAATGTAGTTCTGAGCTACACTTAAGCTCTATTTTTGCACTTGTTTCTTGTCGGGGTGTAAATCTCTCACAAGTCTGTGGTTTGTAGGATGATGACCTGAATAGTTACCAAGATGAATTAAAGAACTATGTATTTGAGTGATCTTCTCTCTGAGTGGTTTCACTTACAATGTCCTATCAGTGACTTTTCTGATCTGTGATTAATTTAATTGCTTTCTAGCTTGCGGTATGGATGGTGTTCACATGTGGATGTCTTACAATGCTTCCATCTAAAAATATTGCTGTTGGAAAATGCATCTTCACTGGTTTTTGGCAGATACTGAGCTTCTCTTTGTATTGCATGTGAAAGTACAGCTGCTGGGGAGGCAGTGCTGTAAGCAGAATCACTGGAATGTGTGGCCTTCAGAGCAGACTTCCAAAATGTGGGTTGTGTTTTTAGGTGATGGCAGTACTTTCCAGTCAAAAGGCAAGTGTAGGCCCTTAAAGATACTGGTTATTGAAGAGTTACTAGTGTTCTTCCTGTGTGTTTTTTAGTCAAGGGGTAGGTATGTTTAATTGTATAATAGTATGACAGTTGACCACAACAGAAACCTAAACAAAAATCTAGGTAGACTTTGTTTATTCAATATTTCTATGCAGAAGGCTACACTGACAGTAAACAACAACAAAAGAAAACCTATTTCAAAATAGTTTTCTTCAGTGTATTATAAAATTCACATCCTATAATTCTAATGAAAGGTTTTTGAACAACTCAGTCTCACGTTAGTCCTACTAAGAGTTAATTGGTACATGCAGAAGAAAACACTGTTCAGGTATGAGCTACTTAGAGTTCTTAAACACTACTGCTGTTAATGAATTTGCAACGATTAGGCACGTGTGTTATCTGAGGGTAACTCAATTCTGCCTCCAAGAATCTTATGCCAACTTATTACTGAAAATTATAGAGCTGTTAATTGCAGTCGGGAGTGGGCATCACATTTGACAAGCTGTAGCACTGCACAGGGACTCTGCTCAGCTGGGCTCAGAACAGGAGACTTTCATTTATGTCTTCTGCAACAGAGAAGGAAGTGTTATTAGCATTTGTCAAAGTGCTGTTTTTATGTAGTGCTGTTATTAAAAATGGTATACTGAAATTTTAGAGAAATTCAGAACCTTGCACCTCTTGCTGTTCTGCTTGCCTAGAATTTTTCTTGAAATCTGGAACTTAGCAGTGGGAATGCTTTGTACTGTGTGCTTTCCTGGTCTTCGAGGCTTACCTTCCTTAATCCCAAAGCAGTGGCACCACTCCTTCAAAGTGATAAGTTTGTCTTGGTCTCCATCACACTCTTGGAAGAAACGCGTTATGCAGTGTTCCATGGGAACGAGGGAGGCTCTCAAAGGAGCAAGCTCTGAGTGTGTCAGTGATCTGAAAGGAGGAGAACACAGGTAGAGGAGTACTTCTGTGATAAATTATCAATGTCACCGAAGATGCTCTAAGTGTCTGAAAAGTGGTAGCAGTGATAGTGACATAGAAGTCTATACATTTTAACTATTCTATGTTCTTTAAAAGGGTTTTTTTTTTTTTTCTGGAAGAGTTATTACTGTCATTGGTTTACAATTCACCAGTCCTGTCATTTTACCATTAATCTTCAGGAGAAGCTTGCAAAGATACTTAGCTATGTTCTATTAGGTGTGATGGATGTGAGGGATTAAGGCCCTTGAAACACAAATCCCACCGTCAAGTGGCATGACTGAAGGCCTGAAGTCTGAATCTTACTCTCAGAGGTAAGTTTTGAAGGATCAGTGCTGGCTTGTATCAGCTGAGGGACACCAGTCCTTTATGTAGAAGATGCTTCAAGTGGTTTAGGAAAGTAAAACATCCTTAACTTGACCTAAGTCAGAATTTAACATACAAAGAGTTCTTACCTGTCAGTGGGGTGCTGGTCAAGCTGATAAAATTGCCAGTGCACAGGATACACGTACATGTGGTAGTTTTTCTCAAAGTCATGCAGGAGAAGCTCAACTGGATGCTCACCAGACACGAGGCGCTTCTCATTCAGGTATATTTTTTTGACCTGGATACATAAGAGAAATTGATTTTTGTTTTGAGGACAAGACATGGCCTGACGAGAACTCTCCACCAGGGAGGCAATTTGAAGAAATCAAGCTTGATGAAATACTACTAGGGAAATGAGTTTTTATTGTTTAAATGTATAGTGTAGAAAAAGATTGTCTCAGATTTGCCAGGTGGGTGTTGGTGGTTACTGTGTGAACTTCAATAGTGACTGGAAAGGAAGTCTGACCCCCTCTGACTCAATAGGCATCAGACCCAAGTAAACAAGACAGTGGCCTCAGACAGTTGGAGGCAAAACTGACTCTGATGTTAGCGTACCTTCAGTTCTGGGGTAAGCTGCTCAGCTTTGCTGTATCAGATATTGTGTAATTCATGGCTGTTAGTATGAGTCTTTCATGGTGGGCCATGATCCCTCCTGTAGTTACAGGGCCAGTCTTTAACAGTCCTCCTGCGTATTTTGTACAGGCTGAGTATCAGTCAATTTTATCCCTTGAATATCATGCTGCAAACTTGATTTGTAAATTGACAGTGTATGAAACTGTATTAAAACCTGTAGAAGACACCCATAACTGTTCATTCCAATTTCACATATTTCTATGTTGATTGCCAAGCATAAGATATGTCCTAAGAACAGAAGAGTTGGAAAATGGCATCGACCACACGAATCGGATCCTTATTTCCATTAACTGATCAGACAAAAGGTTTGTCTCAAATTGCTTACTGAACAACAAAAGCAATGTTGTTTCGTCTCAAGAGAACAGTTAATAGGTGTGCATTTTTTTTTTTTCCCTTGCATGGAAGTACACACTGAAAAATAACATACCTGGCTTAGATCCACTTTGACAAAAATGAATATTTATAGCAGAAATGTGTCTAAGCTTAGATTACTGTCAGGGGACATGTAGGTGTGTTTGGGAAACTGTAAATGGTATGGAGATTGTCCAGTTCATAGTTTGACTTTCTTGCATGTGATTTGATATCCAGAACCCTAACCAGAACAGAAATGCTAATATGAAATAGGGAAACTTGTAGGATGTGGCCCTGCTTGAGCAGGGGTGGGCCCAGGTGATCTCCAGAGGTGTGGTCCAACTTCAAGTGTTCTGTGATTCTGTAAATCACTTGTTTCAGCTGGTTTGTACTAACCATGTCACTGCATCTTCCTGTTTGTATGTGGATCGCTTACCTTATTTCTTTGCTTTTCAGTCAGAAATCCAGATTTATCCTGATCACGTTCATAGTACTGCATAAGGATGTTTTTGAGCCAGTCTCGCATACGGAGAGGGAACTGATCCACTTCATAATCAGTGCAGTGGGGTATGTCTGTGCCAAAACACAAAGCTTTTGTTAAGTCCCTATTCAAGCATTTCTGAACTAAGTTAGGCTTGATTCTCAATAACAGACTTCAACTTCAGCTTAAAATTGATGTAGTTGGTAATATATAAAACTGGGAATGCATTTAGTGGGTTCAGTAATACACCCAGAGTTTGCTGATTGGTGCGTATCCATCACAGGTCATGCAAGCCGCAGGTTTAACCTATCTGTGTACAATAAAAGTAGAATCATGCAGTGAAGTGCAGTTGAAGTCATTTTCAGACCACTGATTGTATGAAAGCAGAGTTTTTGGGAGCAAAGGAATATTCTGGCTAAGCTGAGTCTTCTTTCTTCTTAGAGTACGTGGCTACTGAAGAAGATCTTAGAAATCAACTCTAGCTTTTGGATTGTGACTTTAGGTGCATTTGAGTTGTTTGCATGTGGCATTGAGGGGCATGGATTGTTGATGGGATTTTGTAGTTAAGGTTGAGGGTTGGATCTTAAGGTCTTTTCCAGTCTAGATGATTCTATGGTTCTGCATTTGGTATCTAGGTAGCTTTATGATAATTTTTTTTTAATTTTTTGTTTCAATCTATTAAGTTGATGTATATACTGTATAGATGTGAAAAAAATCTTCATATGGTAAAGCACTGGCATCTGTATTAACACAAAGGACAGTGCCAGGAGAAGATAGAATTAACAGCCAGATTTAAGCACAGGAGGGATGTCTTTAGAATTCAGCCATTTAATAACTTTAACTGTAGGAAAAGTGAGTGGTGTGACAGAATTAGAAGGTTGTTTTTGTCATGTGCATAACTGATAGAGAAGTGGGAGAGAACAAGAAGAAAGATTCCTTATGCTTAGCTGGTGATTCTAAGGCTCCTCATATGTAGACAGATTTTATGGAAAAAGAGGTCTTACATTTGCAGGCGCCCATATAGTCTAGGTGCAGCTGCCGTCCCACTTTTGTCCCTTCAAGTTGACATTTGGTGCTGAAGAGTTGGCATGTGCCATCGTAAGTCTTATTGTCTGTTCCACAAACCTAAGGGAGCAAAAAATAAACATGCACACCCCTCTGCCTATGTTCAGAAAAATTACCTGGTCAATAATGGAGGCTTTACAATAAAAGGGTTGCTGCAATATGACGTAGCAGTGGGAATACCCGCAGAGATTGCATGTAATCAGACGTACTGAAAATTCTAGTTGCAATATGCTTGCTTAAGAATTAGGTGGCTGTAGTTACACAACTTTCAAGACCTCTGAGTTGGGTTTTTTTTTTGTGATAATACAGTGTCTGAGATGCTACTGGATTATAACACTAGGTGTGTACTAGTATTTGCTATGCACTCTGAAAGCTTGAATGGGTAAATTATTGTTTTTAATGACAGGAAAAAAACAGTGTTCCCTGGGAGGCTAATGGAAGCAAGTCACATTGGCTATGTAGGTTTATACTATTCCAATTAAGTATTGATACTCTACTCAAATTGACAGTTACTGAAATGATCCAAGCCTGTTGGTGTGATTCTTAAGGTAGAATTATTCTAAATATTAGCAGGGGAATGTGGTATCTTGTAAGTGTTGTTGCTGGCTTTCCCACATGCTGTGCTCTGAATGTAATACTCACACGCTCATAATCTTTCGTGGAAGGGCAAGCAGCAGGATCTTGGCAAATACAGCTGGGTTTTCCTTGCTTGTCTGCTTGGCAGACTTTTCCTCTTTTGCAGTGGAAGTTCCTACAAAGATCTAGAAATAATGTCAAGAAGGAGAGAGTATAAGAG